CACTCAGGCTCCTGAGCTAGACTGCCTGGCTACAAATCTCAGTACCACCACTTACTAATTCCACTTACTGTGAGCAAGCTCTTTAGCTCCCCAATGCCTCAGTGCCCACATCCGTAAAGTAAATATAGTCGTAGTACATGCCTCATAGGGCAGTTGAAGGATTCAATCAGGAAATAAATATGAAATGCTTAGAAAACTGCCCATGGTAAGTGCCCAATAAATTCTTACTTTTATGACTATCAATAATAATAATAATAATGAGGTTTTAATTATCCAAAGACCTATATTTACTGGGTCCCTATAGAGTATACAGCCATGTGTAAAGTGTTGTGGGAAGATACAAAAATAATTGAAGTCTTGATTTTTGTTCCCACAAGAGTTCATGAACAAAAGGAAGGCAAAACATAAAAGCAAGAAGTTTCCCAAGGCTATAGAAGCAAACAACACGTCTGCCAAGACGAACATTCTTGTCTTTCAGTAGATTAGTGCATACTTAGAATACAACTCTCTTCAAAGAAACTCAGAAAGTAATACACTTCTCACTCGCCTTTGACAAAGTCATATTTGGGTTTATTGCAGTGTTTCTCAACTTTGGCACTATTGACATTTTGGCCAGATAGTTCTTTGTTGTGGATGCTGTCCTGTGCATCGGAGGATGTTTAGCTGCATCCTGTGTCCCCACCCACTAGATGCCAGGAACACTTCACCCTCAAGTTCTGACAACCATAACCCACCCACTAGATGCCAGGAACACTTCACCCTCAAGTTCTGACAACCATAAATATCTCCGGGTGTTGCCAAACGGGGGGCAAAATCACCCCAGTTGAGAACCACTAGTCCATCAGCATTTCAGGAACAACACCCAACGAGAGCTCACTATAATGGAAAGAATAAAAGAACATGACACTTTTAAATGGCTTCTCTCCATAAAACCTGGGACGAGGCCCCATTTCACTACCCTAAACAGGAGACCTTGGTCCTATCTCTTCCCCTTGCCCAGGCTACCTTTCCTTGTTGGTAGAATCAGGTTATCGTGGGCAACCTCTCACGATTGTGGTGGGGATTAACAGAGTTGTGTTTGTGAATCTTCTTTAACTGTAAACCACCATTACCATGTAAAGAGGTATCATTTTAAACACCCAGAGGACTATTTCACCATTGTGATTGTGCCTTTGTGTGGACAAGTAAATTTGAATGGAAACATCGTCACATTAGAGTCTAAGATTTTGAACTCAGATGATTCTGAACTTAGTTAATAAATATTCACAGAGGAGAAGACCCCCTTCATGTTAGGCACCAGGCTGTGCCCTCTAGAGACATAGGGATGGATCAGGGGCAGCCTCTACCTCAAGGCCCTATGGTTGGCAGGTGTGCTCTTTGCTCCATCATCACCCATGCCCAGGACTGGAAAAATTAGCCCTTCATGTTCACAATTCCCAGGAAAGACAAAAACTGAGTTGCAAGGTCCCATCTGGGTATATTGCCATGTGTGGTTATTTGACATTAGAATTTCACAGGGACTATAAACTTAGCCTTTAAAATCTCTCAGAGGACAGGAAATGAACATTTGCTGAGTCTGTACCACATGCCAGATTCTGCTCAGGTTCATTCAGGACTGTGAGGAAGGCATCATTATTTCGTTTTTACTGATGAGGACATTAAAGCTCATTGAGAATAAAGTAATTATCCCAGTGCCACAGGGTAAATGGCAAAACTGGGATTTGCATCCACATTGGTTTAATCCAAAGACTTTTGCTACCACACCATGCAAATGGAGGTGTATTTGGAAATGGTGATCCTACTATGGATAGCAGGAGGTTGTGTGCACTACTCAGACCATCTATCCCAGGAATGTGGATGACAGAGGAAGACATCTCCTGTGTGAATCTCACATTTGGGTAATGCTAGGTAAATGGCTGTCACAGCGACCTGCAATCCCTCTGCTGAAGAGGTACTTATCTAGGCTGAGCCAGTAGAATCTGGACACAGAATACAAAGGAGGGGGACTCCTGACCAAAAGAAGCAATTACAATTGATGTTCCATTCTGTGGCTTCTTGGAACCGAGCTGCCCCAACAGCACGAACAGAGATAGAACATTTCTGTGAAGCCAGCCTCTCCAGAAGTCAACCGGGTTAGAACAACTTAACAAACCAGCAGAACCAAAACAGAGGCATGGGGCTGAAGATGAGTTCCCTGTAAGGCCAGATCCATAAGAAGTATGCTCAAGGTCATCCTTGACAAATAACAACAGTGCTATGATTTTGCAACTCTGTAATTTCACTTATAATATATGAATATGCTTGGGGCCAGAGAAAGGGAGATTGATAACTTCATTTAGAGCAAATCAATTGGATTTCACTGATAGACTCATGAATCATCCAAGAGATAGACAGGGGTGTCAAGGAACACTGAGTCCTCTCCCCTGCTGATTTTTACAAGCCTCATCAATTTCTGTCTAACTGAACACTTCCATTTGGGTCATTAACATAAAGCTTCTAGAATTCAAGAAGTTAAATCCTTTCTAAAATTCTGGCACCTTGGCCAACACAATTTTGTCATCATGCCTTTGATTTAATTATCATGAATAAAGAAAATGTATGCCCATCCAAATGTGGGCTGGTCAACCACGACACTTAGAAAAAAAGTCATAATGGCAACCATCGTCAATGTCCCCAAAAGCAGTGTCCTGGAAAGAGGGAGACATAAATAGTCCAGATGCCCTTGTCAAAAGACTGTTAGAGCCATCTTAGCCTCACACCATTACACACAGTAAAACATTTCTTGTTCTGATCCTATATGTATCGACTGAGTTGGAGGAGTTACTTTACGCCACAACCTCCCCTGATATATCCATGTACTCCATAATTGACATAAAGATTAAGAAGTCACTGGGATGAAGTCTCATATCCTGGGGTTCAGTTATAAAAAACACAGGTAGTGGACTTAGCAGAAGATGGGGCTTGGTACAAGAGGAGGGTATAAGATGCCCATGGACACCTCCATATTGTTTTACATATTGGTTGGACTAATTAATATTCCACAACAGATCTACCATATGATCCAACAATTCCACTTCTGGGTATGTACCCAAACGAAATGAAAACAGTATTTTGAAGAGATATATACACTCCCTTGTTTACTGCAGCATTATTCACAATAGCCAAGATATGAAAACAATGTAAATGTCCATCAATGGATGAATGCATAAAAAAGATGTGGTATATATACAAAATGGAATATTATTCTGCCAAGGAAAAGGAGGGTATCCTGCTATTTGTGACAACATGAATGGACTTGGAGCACATTATGCTATGTGAGATGTCAGACAGAGAAAGACAAGTACTATATCATATCACTTACACGTGGAATCTAAAGAAGTCAAACTCATAAAAAACAGAGAGTAAAATGGTGGTTACCAGGGCATGGGGCTGGGGGGATAAGACTGATGCTGTTTAAGGATACAAACTTGCAACAAGTAGTAAATAAGACGTAGCGATCTACTGAACAATATAATGAGTATAGACACTATTGTACTGTAATTATGTGATGTGATAAATATTGCTACAGTGGTAATCATATTATAACATATAATTATATCAAAGTAACACATAAACCTTAAATTTACACAATGTTATATATCAAATTTATTCAATTAAAATAAGTAAATAAATAGAGCCTTTTCCACCTGTGGCCAAAAGAAAAAAAAAAAGATGCCAAGGACAATGTAATGTGCCTGTGCCCTCCCTCCCTATTATCTGCCACCACATCACTGAAGTTTGCTGTTAGTGAGTTTCTGGTGCCCACATAGGCTGGTGCCTGGAGACAAGGTCTTCCCCTGCCCCTTGCTCTTTCTTTGCCATTTGGTGGGGAGCAGGGGAACTAGTAAAACCCACTTAAAGGAGGCAATCATGGGGATGTTGAGAGCTAACTGACCATAAGGGGAAAAGCCTTGAGCTATGAATAGGGCTTGATGTCAGAGGGGTTAGTGTGGTTCTTGGTGATGTGCAGCAACTGACACTACAATCTGTCCTGAATCGTGTGCATGCCTTATGAGGGACAGGTTGCACAAGCAGCCTTGTTCTGGAGACTTTGCATAACTAAGAAGAAATATTTCTTCAAAGCAGGGATAAAGGATCTTTGGCCTTGGGTCCTGTAGAACTGTCAGAGTTTGAGTGTGTGATATTATGTTCATCTAGCTGGGATAGCTATTAATAAACAGGACTTGTGTGTGTACAAATATAAAAAGCACCTCTGGGTTTCTAAATCTATTTGGGGAAAATAAATTTAGAAAAGGCTAAGATTCCAGCAGCAAACAGAAAAGCTCAGAGCCATGAAGATTTGGATCTTTTTTTAAAAAAAGATATTTAATTTATTTTTAATTTAATTTAATTTTTATTTTTTTGGCTGCATCAGGTCTTCGCTGCAGCATGCTGGATCTTCATTGAGGCAGGCAGGATCTTTCATTGCAGCACGAGTGCTCTTTGTTGCATCGTGCTGGCTTCTCTCTATAGTTGTGTCGCGCAGGCTTCTCTCTAGTTGTGGCGTGTGGGTTTTTCTTTTTTTTTCTCCTCTCTCTAGTTGTGGTGTGTGGGCTCCAGGGCGCATGGGCTCTGTAGTTTGAAGCATGCAAGCTCTCTTGTTGAGGCGCATGAGCTCAGTAGTTGTGTCATACGCGGGCTTAGTTGCTCTGTGGCATGTGGGATATTAGTTCCCTGACCAGGGATCGAAACCGCATCCCTTGCATTGGAAGGCGGATTCTTTACCATCGGACCACCAGGGAAGTCGCGAAGATTTGGATCTTATTGAGATTACATCTTTATTCTCAAGCTCACAAAGCCAGAGATACCTAAGATATATATGCTTACCAATCTTACCCACCACAAATATTTTCATTCTGTAAGGCATTGATTTCTTTTGTCTTTGTTGATTTCTTTTCCCCTTTTAAAGCCAATCCCTCTACATGTGACTACTTGTGACTAGATTCCAATCCTTTCACTTACCCAAAGGTTTCGCTCCAGCAATTCTCTTCCTTCTCTTACATCAGCAGTTTTTCTGTTCCTATTGGGTCATTATCATGAGCATATGAGCATGCCATTATTTCTCCATCTTTAAAACAAACAAACAAACATTCTTTTAGCCCTACTTTCCTCACTAGCTTCAACCCCAACTCTTTGCTCTCTTTTGTATCAAACTCCTCAAAAGTGTTACGTATACTAGTCAAGCACTTTCCTCCCATTCTCTCTTAAACACTCCAATCAGCTTCTTGCTCCCCAAATTGCTCTTATAAAGGTTACCAGTTACCCACATATTCCTAAGTCTAATGATCTTTAGTTCCTGTCTAACGTGATCTACCAGCTGCATTTGGCATGATTTGCCATGCTTTCTTGCTGGATTCACTGCCCACTGGCTTCCTGGAAAATACCCTCTCTGCTTCTCCTCTCACCTCCGTGGTTCCATTTTTAACTTTCTCTGTTCTCCTTTCTTTTTTCCCCAACCTGTTAATGTTAAAGTGGATCTTTTATCTATCTACATTCACTCCCTTGATGATTTGATCCACTCTCATCATTGTTTTAAATCCCATCTATTCTCTGGTGACTCCCGAACTTAATCGTCAGTACAGACCTTTCTTCTCAACTCTAGATCCATATTATATGCAACTGCCCATGGGAAATCTGTACATTTTCACTTAATATGTACTAAACTTAATTCCTGATCTGTGCCCGAAACCCATTTCATGCGCATTCTTTCCCATCTCAGTTGATGGCAACTCTATTTTTCCAGTTGCCCCACCCTAAATCCTCGAATTCATTATCGGCTCCAGTGTTTTTCTTATACTCTCCACATATACTATGTCTGGAAATCCTACATTTTGAAGTATATCTAGAATCTGACCACTCCTTACTACCTCCACTGCTACGACACTGGTCTGAACTGACATCCCCTCTCTCCTGAAAGATGGTAACAATGCCTTAACAGCTCTCCTTGCTTCCACCTTGCTTCCAATCTATTTTCAACATAATAATCCTTTTTTTTTTAAAGAAAGAAAATAAGAGTAATCCTTTTTTAAAAGGGAGAAACTGCTTTAATATTTGAAATTCCACCAGTGTAATTCATTGGTTTAACAGAATAATGAGAAAAACGACATAACCTTTTCAATAAATGCCAAAAATCATTTTATAAAATTCAAAACCAATTCTTGATTAAAAAAAAAATTCCCACTAAACGGGGAGTAGAAAGGAGTGTTCTTAAAATATCTACAAGACAAAGAGTATCTTCAAAAACAAAACAAAACAAAACCCCAAACTACAACTTCATACTCAGTGGTGATACACTGAAATATTTCTCCCCCAAGGCCAGGAATAAGATAAGGATGTCCATCAACACCATTTCTTTCAACATAGTAGTGAAGATCCTAGCCAGTGCAGTGAGGCAAGAATAAGAAACACAAGGCTTAAAGTTTGGAAAGGAATAAGTAAAACTCTCCTATTCACAGATGACACAATAGTATATATTGAAATTCTTAAAGAATATTCAAATTATTAGAATTAATAAGTGAATTGAACAAGGTCACTACATATAAAGTGAACATATCAAAAAAATTAACTGTATTTCTATATACTGGCAAAAAAACAGTTGGAAAGCTAAATGAAAAATACCCTTTACAATGGCATCCAAAATAATCAAATACCTAATAAAAATCTAACAGAAGATGTGTAAAGCCTCTACACTAAAACCTACAAAATACTGAGAGAAATTAAAGGAGATCCAAATAAGGGGATAAGTATTACATGTGCATTAAATGGAAGATTCAATATTAAGATGACAATTTTTGCCAAATCGATCTATAGGTTCGATTCATTCCCAATCAAAATCACAGCAAGATCATTTATTTTTTTATTATTATTATTATTTTTTTTTTTTTGCGGTACGTGGGCCTCTCACTGTTGTGGCCTCTCCCGTTGCGGAGCACAGGCTCCGGATGCGCAGGCTCAGCGGCCATGGCTCATGGGCCCAGCGGCTCCATGGCATGTGGGATCTTCCCGGACCGGGGCACGAACCCGTGTCCCGTGCATCGGCAGGTGGACTCTCAACCACTGCGCCACCAGGGAAGCCCAAGATCATTTAAATTGACAAGGTGATTCTAAAATTTATGAAAATGCAAAGAACACAGAATAACCAAGACAATGTTGAAGAAGAGTAACCAAGTTGGAAGACTACACACTAACAGATTTCAAGACTTATAAAGCTACAGCAGTTATGGCAGTGTGGTATGGGTGTAATGTAGACAAATAAATCAATGGAAAGAATAGAGAGATCAGAATAGACCCACACATGTGTGATCACTTGATTTACAAAAAAACGCTGTAATACAGTGGAGAAAGAATTGTCTTTCCAAAAAAAATGATGCTGAAGTAACCAGATACCCTATGAAAAAAATTAACCTTGACTTCTACCCCACACTATACACATATAATAATCCAAGGTGGATTATATGCCTAAATGTAAAAGCTAGACCATAAGCATAAAAGAAAAAACATAATAAATTATATTTTACTAAAATTAAGAATGTCTGTTGGTCAAATCACATAATTAAGAAAGTTAATTGACAAGCTACAGACTGGAAGGAGATATTGACAATACAAATATCTGACAAAGATCTTATATCCAAAATATATAAAGAACTTCTACAAAATAATGAGAAAATAAGCAAACCATTTTTTAAAATGAGCAAAATGCTCAAACAGGCACCTTATAAAAGATGAACTCAAATGGCCAATAAGCATATGAAAAGAGGCTCAGTAATTTTACTCACTGGGAAAGTGCAAATTCCCATACCCACCAGAATGGTTAAAATTTTAAAACTGACGATACAAGTTTTGGTGAGGATGTGGAGAAACTGGAACTCTCATACGTTACAGGAAGGAGTGAAATCAGGTCAACCATACTGGAAATATCTATTAAAGCTAAATATACCTGACTATTCCATGCCTTAGTGATTACATTCCTGAAATACTCCTGGGTATATATCCAAGAGAAATTAATGCATATGTCCACTTAAAACATGCACAAGAATGTTCATAGTAGCCAAAAATTGGAAACAACTCAAATGTCAACAGGAGAATTGAGTGCTTCCCTGGTGGTGCAGTGGTTAAGAATCTGCCTGCCAATGCAGGGGACGCAGGTTCAAGCCCTGGTCCGGGAAGATCCCACATGCCATGGAGCAACTAAGCCCATGCACCACAACTACTGAGCCTGCATGCCACAACTACTGAAGCCCGTGCACCTATCGCCTATGCTCCGCAATAAGACAAGCCACTGCAATGAGGAGCCCACACGCTGCAACAAAGACCCAACACAGCCAAAAATAAATAAATAAAATTTAAAAATTATATATAAAAAAACAGGAGAATTGATAAATTGTGGTGTATCCAAACAATGAAATACTTTACATCAATTAAGGAATTTTGCAAACACAATGGTGAGCTAAAATAGCCAAACATGAAAGACTACATTTTGTGTGATTTCTCTTATGAAAAATTCAAGAACAGGCAAAATGAATCTGTGATGATAGAAGTCAGAATAGTGGTTACCTTGGTTGGTGGTGTGGTTATGGATTAGAAATTGACAAGGGAATCTGGGGTGCTGGAAATATTTTATATATTCATCTGGATGGTGGTCACAATGGTATATACATATATATATATATATATACACTTGTGAAGCTGTATTTTACTATAAATTATACCTCAAAAAGACATTATATAACTGAAATGTCTACTGGTTAAAGGATATTATATCTGGAATTCAGAGAGGAAGAAAAGTGAATGGGGGTATAGATATAAAAGATTGACGAGTCAGTAATTGTAATTGTAGTCTATCCGCTTTTGTTTGTTTAAAATTTCCACAATAAAAAGTTTAAAACAAACCAAAGATTAATTAAAAAAATAAGTCAGATCATGTCATTCCTGGGTTTACATTCTTGCCTTGCTTTCCATCTTATTCAGAGTAAAATGCCAAGTCTATACAATGGCTACAAGGCTCCACATGCTGTGTTCTTATGGCCTGTTACTACTCTCTGTCCTCACTCACGCATTCCAGTGACATTGACATTCCCTCTCCTTAGAGTCTTTGCTTAGACTCTTCTCTCTGCCTAGAATGCTCTTCTTCCACCTACCTATACACCTCCTTCAATCTTTGCTGGAATGTCATCTTCTCAATTGAACCATACTGACCACCATATTTAACGCTGTAGTCCATTTCCCTGGTGTTCCAGATCCCCTTTACCCTGACATATTTCCCCCTTTTCCCCCATGGAACTAATAACTTTCTAAGGTACTACATAATTCATTTACTTACTATGTTTATTGCTTATTGTCTGTGTTCCTCTTACTTCTGCCCTAAAGTGCAAGCTCCTCAAAAACAAGTATCTTTGTCTGTTTTGTTTACCAAAGTATCCGAAGCACATAGAACAGTACCAAGTTCCCCAAAAAAGTACCTGGAACATAATATGTGCTCAATAAATACTTAATAAATCAACAAATGAACAATAATGCAATAGAAAGACTGAACCTGACTTGACCTCCCAAGCATCTTGACTACGGGAAGAGAATGTGCCGGTCATGCTACCATAATTGCTTCTGGTCCATATAAGAGTCATTTTGTTGTTGTTAAAATGGCATATGTCAATCTTTGATGGTATAACAAACATGTTAGGCAATGTGCCTGTTATTCTCACCTTCCTGTATATCTTAATGGAGAAGATCTTCAGGGCCCTGAAGCTTGTCTTAGTTCATGCTGCTATAACAAAATATCACAGGCTGGGTGGCTTATAAACAATTTATTTTTCATAGTTCTGGAGGCTGAAAATCCAAGATCAGGGTAGCAGCATGGTTGGTGAGGGCCCTCTTCTGGGTCGCAGCCTTCTTGTTGTGTCTGCACATGGCGGAAGAAGCCAGGGAGCTCTCTTGAGTCTCTTTTATGAGGGCACTAATCCCATTTATGAGGGCTCCACCCTCATGATCTAATCACCTCCCAAAGCCCCACCTCCTAACACCATCTCCTTGTGGGTAAGATTTCAACATATGGATTTGGGGGGACATATTCTG